TCGAACTAACAGTCGTTTGCAAACGTGTAAGGGCTGTGTTTGTAATCCTAAGTGTGTGTGTGGCAAGCATGCTGCCTCCAGGCTCCCAGTGGAAGCCTTGAGGGAGCATGCTGGCCATATGCGCACGCGTGATTACACACACAAAATCGTCCGTACGTATGCGTGCCTACGCTGCTTCTCACAAAAATTTATGAATATACTGCTAAACAGTGAGCAGCGCGCCTCCCTCTCGAGCTGCTCTCTACAACACCGCCTTGCCTCAGTCGAAGCGCAAGACTATCCAAATGGATGCACGCTTGATGTCACACGCGCATACATTCCCACGTTGGAATGCACTCATCAAAATGCCATCCAAACAGACGTCATTTACAATGGAGCGATGACGCGTCACTACAGCGACGACGACAATACGTGTAATTGTCAGTAATCTTGACCAAGTGGCAACGCAATTAGCAGTCCTAACAGAAAGTCAACGACATGGGCGCCAGTTTCGTTTTCCTTTTTTCAGTTTTTCTTTTGCTCGATAATGAGAAACTAGCCACGCCCTGCTTGACGCATTGGGACCTTCAAAGCTGGCAGCATTCAGCATTCAATCAAAACTAAAGGTTAGATTTTGTAACACACAAGAACAGAGAGCGGCTGCAAATAATATTGCGACTTCAACGCCTGGGGTGAAAAAATGGGGCCAATTTGGCATTGCCATACAGTTTCTCGCAAGAGACCTGTACTTTTTGCACAGACTTTGAAAAATTTGATCAATTCGGCACTGGTGAATAAGCACACGTATGCACGGGTAAATAAAACGAGCAAGTGTCTGACACCGTCAGGACAGCGATAGCTCAGCCCGACCACGCTCTGTCGAGGGTCGAGACGTGCTCGCCGCACGCCGGGCCCGTGGGCAGTGCATCGTTTTTTTCAGCATGTCTCGGCATATCATGAGAATAGCGGTACTGCTTCGTGCATTTAACATCTCTCAATATGCAGAGTCAAAATTGCTCCAGTTAAGTCTTCTGACAAGCACGTTCTGACTTTGGCTTGCGTGAATTGGAGGGGAAGACACTATGTCGATTTTGTTATGCTTAGAGTCAAATTGACGCTAAGGGGGAGTGGTCCAAACCTGTGGCACTAAGAGATTATGTTATTGCAACAAAATCAACATGAAGAGGGAAGATACCCCAAAACGCCGCGGAACAGCTGCACACATTCGACGTTCACAAAAGGCCTTAAAATGGATCAATCTACAACAATTAAGGCTGCCCGCCTCGCCTATAATGCCATTTAGAATCCCAATTCGCAACCCACCGGAATGAGCACGACTTTGACTATTTTCCCTCCTCAAAAACACGTAGAATTTGCATATCACTGTCATATCACATATCACAGCGCCTTCCCTAAGTGACAAGACATCTGAAATAGTGGTAGGACAGGATTTCGTCCCATTTTGAAACAATTTGAACAAGGATAGAAACTGTGTAAAGCGGGCAATATCTTGACAATGCGCTATCGCTATTCTTGGTGGATTGTGCCTTGGTGCAATGCGGTGCTTAAACTTGAGGTCAATGAGCATTGCGATTTAGGTCATCTAGAACGAATGTGGACTGCAGATGGCTACAAATCCGTAGTCATGGTTTTTCATGGCTTGGTTTAGACATAATTTAATGCACTACTTTCATATCCCGTGCATCCGTAATTATTGTGACATTGACCGAACACTCTCGTGCTCACACACGGTCGCTCCCAGGCACGGGAAGCGAGGCGGCAACCAGATGCATTACAGGATGAGTGTATCAGCCTAAATAACAATCCCTGCAATAATGTTCACTTCCCCATCTCCATTGTCTCCAAGTAAATTCACCATAACACCATGTTCACCACATTCACTTCCCACCATAAAATGCCATATATCGCATATCATATTTTAATCGTTCCCTCGCCCTCACAATTACCTACATATGGTATACGCACAACAGTTGCGTTTGCCTAAGCTTTAACTGTGGACTACAATACGATGGCCAGCCATTTGTGGCCGTCGCTTGCCACTACCAGCATATCGGTATGAGCAACTCGCACCTGCCGCTTTGGGCGCCGCTCAGCCTCTGCCGACATCTCCAAGCCCGGCAGCCATCCCCCGAAGGCCTCTTCCTGCACGGGCTGACGCCAAAACACATCGGCAGTGAGAATAAGAGTGAAGCAGAAGCGGGGCAGCGGGCGCGACTTGTCGCACGATTTCACAGTCTGTGCCTCTACGGGTCGCATTAAACAATTGCGACCACACCTCCATGCCAGTTGAACTCACGTTGGCGCCCAGTGAACGCGCAGAAAGGCAGTGAAATAGCATTTCCAACTGCAGGCAACGGGCAAGTGACACAGAGCCCTGTCGCACCTTCCCTTCTTCGCGCAGGACCCATCCGGACTCTGCCGTTCTGGCATTCTCTCCCACACGCGCCTCCCCGCCGTCGGCGGACCTGGCAGCCACCGGGACAGCCCCGTTTCTGACGCGAAGCCTCTTCGCGTCCGCCGAAGCGCATGACAAGACTATCGGGGCGGGCAGGCGGTTGTGCAACGTGGGCGCAGCCGAGACCGGGTGCGCCCCAAAGACCTGCTTTGGGCCTTGGATTTGCTGTGGCTCGCTGGCGGTGCCACGCGAGGGGAAGATGAAGAAGGGCTGGGCATCGCTCAGTTTGCGCTTTGTGACCACCTGCGGGGCCGGCTCAGTGTTTCGCTTCTTTGTGCATGAATGACATTCGAACATCAACTGATAACTGATAACCGACACAGTCAATATGGGTGAGTGCAGATGGCTTGATGCATGGGTCGCCGTAACTCGCTATGTATATACAATCGCAGACGTTGGATTCGGTCTTCAAGATAATCTTTGACTGAAATCCGTCTTTAAGAGAATCTGTAATTGAAATTCGTCTTCATGTACTACTTCAATACTTGCATCCCTGCATTTTACACCGGCAAAGAATTGGTCGCATCGCACCATTGAATTCAAAGCTTGGATGTGGCCAATTTGATGAACATCGTAGATTAACATCAGCGCTACCATAACTATCCACACTGTATGCGATTTCGGTGTCGGCATCACATGTGCAAAGCCACACACCTTTTTCTCTGGCTTTCCGCCGCTCTCCCTCGCGCTGCGCCTGTGCATCCTAATTCCGCAAGCATTGCACAGAGTCCGGGGGCCTGTCGCAGAGAGAGGCAAGCGAGCGGACCACAAGATTAAGCAAGCGTGCGGTTGATCCCTGCATCACTGGGTCTGGCCAGACAGGCTGAGGTCAACAGGTCCTGTCAGACAAACTAAGGTGACATTTTTTTACACCACAAATCGTCCACATCCCCAACCCAACGCTTAATACTGTCAATGTCGCAGACCATACACTGTGTCCATCTCACAGTATATGGTGCATGCATACACTCATTTATTCATTTGTGCAAACATGTTCATACGCTCATGGAATTATGTGCACATTTTCATACACGTCTTGCAGCATCCTAACATCGTGCATGCACGCATGCTTCATGGCTCATGCGCAGTGCCTCAGTTGCAACAATTGCCAACCAATCCTGCGCACATGCCAACAGCGCATCTGCGCCATTCTTCACAACTCCTCAACGCAACAGGGGCCGGATCGCAGCAGCACATCCAGGATAGGGTAGGTGCACGTTCCGGATGGGGCTTCCACTTTCAGGGCATCGCCACGTCCGGGACATGCAACTACAGGGCGTGCGCCTTTTCTCCGTTGTGGTCCCTTGGGTCGGCAGCGGGGTGGGTGGCTGGCTACCTGCCGGTCCGTTCCTCCACTGCGGGGTGTTGGAGGCGCCGCACAGGACACACTGCCTGGGTTCGCCTTGCGACGGCAAGGCCGGCCCGTTGCCTTCGGGCCTGCAAGGCGACTGGAGGCGAACTCCAGGGCCGCGGCCGTCGCCTTCGCTCTGCCTGGTGTCCCAGCTTTGCCCTTCTTGGTGCCTTTGGGCGTCGTGTTCCGCCTTTGTGGCGAAGCCGGCCACTTGCAGCTGTCCCAACGCCTTCCACTCGTTCACTGGAAGCTGCAGCGCACAAACTGTCAGGACGACAGGGAATCATGCACAGCAGATGGTCTTGAGGGGTGCGTGCCGGCTTTGAACAGGCGTGCGCGGTATGGTATGTTCCAATCAATCTGGGGCATACAATGCAAGGTTGATCATCCTATCATCACGCATCACAGTCTTTGTTCCTTCATCCGGGCGAACGGCCTCGCGTGGGGCCGCAACCGCAGCGCGAAATCAGAAGAGGAGGATGGGGATTCGCGCTGGATACTGAATCGAGGGCGCTTTCAATGAGATCTGCCACGTGTCCTGCACTTGTTGCAGCGCAGGCGCCAGCCTTTCTTTTCCGTGTCTGCAGTTCTTAGCTCACACAGAGCTCGTTCTCGTTCCCAGTCCTTCCTAAATTTGCTCACCAGGCGCAGCTGCTGCACGGCATCTGCGGGCATCTGCCACAACACAAACTTTGTTGGCAGACAGCGAGTAAATTTCACAAGTGGCAAAGCACGAAATTATGTTAGTCCCTCTGTCTTTTCCGTGTAGATCTCTTCTTCTTTCGCTGACAAGGCCAACGTGGGTCGGTGGTTTTAGGGGTTAGGGTGCCGAACAAAGGGATCACCGCGGAAAAGACAGAGCGACAAATTTCATGCCGCAAAGCACCGGGGCTTTATGATTGCAGTTTAATTGGCCCCTGAATTGCCGTCGGCCGCAGTCTGTGCGGGAGAGTTCGGGACAGGCCCCAATCGGCGCCCGCCTCGACCATCGGTACCCCACCACAGGTAAGCAACACATCCCCCCCCACAGCCGTTAGTAAACGTTCCACGGCGCTGACTAACGCCCGCCCACTGCTGTGTGACGTAACCATCCCGCCTGGGCCCCCCTGACCTCATGGGACGTCAAAATCAATCACGCGTCACACGCGGCCAGCGGGGCGGATCAGGCAACCGTAGATGCCGCGATCTGACGTCGCATCGTGCATTCCAAGGGGACGACCACGGGGAAGGGGTTGGGGGCCTTCTGCGACAACAGGCGAGCAGCGGCCAGCCGCGCCCCCAGCCACCGGCCGCGGCTGTCAGCAGGCGCCGAAACGCCCAAGGCGACCTCTTTGGACACTGAGCGTCCCGTATGGTTCGTGCCTCACCGATTGCATCGCCTCCGACAATCCGTCCTTCCACTCCGCCACTGAGTGGGCCTGCAGGTGGATAGGCCGCCCGGCCCGCTGCCACTCGGCCCCGCCGCCAATCAGCGGCGCCGGAGGCGCTGAGGCGAACCCCATGGCCGCGCAAGGACGGACGGCGGCGGCTTCAGTCGAGCTCACGGCAACCCCTCCCTGCAAGGAACGACAATTGCACGGTTGGGATGGCGGCCAAAGTCTGCTGGAAATGGTACCCAGGCAGGGGCCTCTCACGGGCGCTGGCCGGCTCGGCGCGGTCGCTCGCCGCGGCCGGGAGAGGGGTGGGGCGATGTCTGCGCCCTGCGCCCAACGCCGTGGGAAGGGCGGCGCGGGAATGTCGGGCGCATGCGAGAGTGAGGGCCACACCACAGCATTTCAGAAGATGTTCCCGGGGCGCGCCAGGGGACCCTGGGACGCCGCCCCGGGCCCCTCGCCCGGACGGGGTCCCGGACGTCGAACGGCGCGCCCGCGCGGGCCCCGGGTGGCGGACGATCTGAAAGTTCTCCCGGCGGGGCAGACAGAGGGGGTCAAGGACCGGGCCTGAGCCAGGGCGGCCCAGGCGGGAGGGAAACGTGGAGCCGCGACTGCGATGATGCGGTTTGGGGCCGGTGCGGCGCCGGGGGCAGGTCTCGGGCGGGACAGATCACGGCAGGTCGTCCGGGCCGGCGTCCAGTCCGACCGACTAGTTGTCGCCCGCAGCCCGGGCGCTTCGCTGGCGGAATCTCGGGCGCTGAGCCCAAAGGCGGGCCGCAAGGTGGGCGAGGAGAGCGCAAAGCGCGCCGGGGTCCCGGCCCCGGCAGTTGTCCGGACGCCGAGAAGCAGGCGCGTCAGGGTCAGCCGTCAGGCCCCTGAGGGCCTCCGCGCCCCTTAGATGTCCCTGTGACCAGCGATGCCAGCCCTCACCTGAGCCCTCTTGCCGCCCTTTGGCAATCCGTGCTTGATTCCGGCGCGCCGGTGACCCGGCTTGCGGGCGGAAAGGGGGCGCCGGGCGGCGATCTGACCGCGGGGGAAGGCGAGTGCGCCCCGGCCTTGGCGAGGTCGCTTGAGGGCGATCGAGGGGCTGCTTCTGGTTGGAGCAAATGATCAGGGCCTGGTCCGTGATCAGGGGGCCCCCTTCATCACTCGGATCCCCGCGTGCCGGGCCACTCGGAGTGCCCCTGCCGTATTCGGTGACGCGGCGGGCCTTCAGTCACCGTACCGCCGGGCTCCCAGCCGCCGTATTCTACTGGAGGCGTGGCCGCGCGTCACCTCGGTTTGGTGTGAGGGCAAGGGTTGGGGTGTACAGCAGCGGCGGGGGACTGTGGTACCCGCGCTGTTACAGTCACTGGACGGCGGCCGCGTCGGACGCCTGGTGGCGGCAGCGCCTCTACGAGAGCAGTGTACATCACCCGTTTCACTACAATGCGGTCCTGTGGTTCGCGTTGCCAGGCGTCGTCCCTTCCCATGGAATGCCGTATTCAGCGCGCCTCGTCTTGGGCACGGCGTGGACGGACCGACCTTTGCCTCTCCGCGTCCTGTACCCCAACATCGGGAATCAGGGGACAGGGGAGCGCCTTGTTGTGACGCGACAGATGCAGTCGACTGGGAAAACGTGCTGGCCGCAACGCGACACTGCCGAATCGCTTGCATACCTGTCAGGCCACAGATGCGGTCGACTGGGAAAACGTGCTGGCCGCAACGCGACACTGCCGAATAGCTTGCATACCTGCCTGGAGAAAGACGCAACTTTGGAGGGACCGCGCCTGGTCCCAAAAATCCCGGGCTCCGGCCTGAATGCCGAGCGCGTTCTACTCCAAAATATTACACGTAAATCCCAGCTTGTTGCTATCCCTTGTGCCAGGATTCTTCCCTTTCATTTTCATCATCTGAGAGTTGTCTCTGAGCAGATGACAAGCCAGTCTCCTGCATACAAACCAGACGAGGGACGCCGGCAGCCGCGTCCCAAACCAACCGCGGCACCCCACCTGTGGGTTTGGGATTCGGGCTTTCAAGAGCTCAAAGCCGTGCACGCCCCGGCCTGGAAAGCCTGGAACTTTTGAGGCCCGAATCTCCACCTCTCCCATCCGCACGTGCTGTCACCGTTGCCTCCTTGGCACCACCGCAGGGTCATCGGCTGGGACAGTCCTGTGCCCAGTGGCCTGGCTGCCCGCACTTGAAACAAACGTTTGAAGCGTCGCCGGCAGCGTTGGCGAACGTATATCCTCTCGACCCCCCGTCGGCGTTGCCCCTGCCCCTCCTACCCCGATTTGCGCCGCCCTGTGAGGCCTGGCCGCCGCCGTACTCATCCTCCCATGCGAAGCTCAGGCACTGGTCGCGCTCCGGGGAGTTTGGGCATTTGACAAAGCGCCGTCCCACGTGCGCACCTCGTCTTGCAGTCAACACCAGCAGCGGGAGGTCGTGCATGGGACACCTGCCACGTCACACATGCGCAGCCATCACCAGTTTTGGGCTGCATACATTGTATTGTTTTGCTCTGCTAATTTCCGTAGCTTGTTTGAAGTAATTCTATTGCTGCATTAGGGAAGACACTATGTCGATTTTGGTACGCATGGCGTTGAATTGACGATGGTGGTGTGTGTGTGGGGTGTGTGTGTGGGGTGTGGTGTGGGGCGGGGCGTGGGGCGGCGGGGCGTGGGGCGTGGGGCGTGGGTGCGCGGGGTGCGTGGGGCGTGGGCGCGTGGGGCGTGGGCGTGCGGCAGGGCGTGGGCGGGGCGTGGGGCGCGTGGGGCGTGGGTAAGTGGGGCGCGGGCAAGGCGTAAGTGGGGGGGGGGGGGGGGGGGGGGGGGGGGCATACCTGTGACCAAGAGAATATGTATTACATTATCATATAATCATAATGTCAATTAAATTGACACAAAATCGACATAAGGAAGGTGCCCATGAACGCCTCTGATAAACGGCGAACAACCCCTGACATGTTCCTGAGCCTGCTGCAAGTGTTCGACCTTCAAAGAAGGCCTTAGAGTGGATCAATTTGCAGCCTTTGAGACTGCCCGCCTCAATTATAGTGGCATTTAAAATCTCATTTTTCAACCCACTGAAATCGGCACAACTTCCATTGTTTTTCTCCTTAGAAACACCTGGAAGTTGAATACCACTGTTAGGTAATGTTGCTGAGTCATCCTGGCTTCGACACAAGGATTGACGCTGAGGAGGGGTGGGGATGGGGGGGTGGGTTTTGAGCTCAACGTCAAATTGACGCTAAGCGTACCAAAGTCGACATAGCGTCTTCCCTTAATTTGCGCAGTCAGTTGCTCGGATGAGGTGCTTGTGTCAAAGTTCTACTTCGGGTCAGTTGTCCTGACGCAACAGGGCGACGCTCCTGCATCTTGAAGGCGACGGTCAGCAGTGTGATGGCCTCGACTTTGCCACCATCCACAGCACGGCAGCTAAGAGCGTGCTCTGAATGGAATCAGGCACAGGGCCCTCGCAAATGCGATTATAACACTGACCTAGCCAACACCTTGGCGCTGCATGCACTCGCAATTTTTGCGCAGAACTCTGCGCAAAGATCGCTTGTGAAAGTGCACATGTGAGTGTGTGCCATTGCCAGACATGCGCCCAGGTACATTCAGACACGACAGCGGCGACGGCCATATGTGTAATTGCATGCGTCAGGACGCGTTTCAAGAATCCCAAGAGGTAACAGTGTACAGAGCAGCAACGCCGTTGAAGCAAGAGCCAGGGTGCGCGTGTTGGGGTGCTCGAGTACGTACGTGCGCAAGTGCGTGTTCCTGTGTCCACACTGACGCAATAGCGGCCCCAACCGCAGACGAGGCTAAGCTTACACTCTGGCCATTCGCGTCGTCGTCGCACACAGCGTGGGCCACTCGCGCTCACCTTGGCGCACCATCATCGCCGTTCGCCCTTCCCCCCCTTCCCGCCTGGCCGCCCCTGCCACCCCTCCGGCCCCGTGCCACAGTGTTGCGCCCTCGCCCCCTTCTGCCTCTTGAGTTCTGCGTGCGGCCACCCCGGTGACCGCCGCCGCCGTCTGGCCCTCTGTCAGACTCTGTCAGCGTGTACGCAAAGGTGTGTGCGCCCTGGTCGGACCCCGGGGCCCAATGCAGCGTCGCCTGGCTGGACCCCTGGGTCCGCCGCTGGTTAGATTGATTGGACCCCTGGGCCCACTGCCGATTGGAGTGACTGGAACCCTGGCCCCGCTGCTGGTTAGATTGGTTGGACCCCTGGGCCCACTGTTGGTTGGGTTGGTTGGATCCTTGGCCCCACTGCCGATTGGATTGACTGGAACCCTGGGCCCACTGCTGATTGGACTGGTTGGAGCCCTGGGCCCACTGCTGACTAGATTGATTGGAACCCCCGGTGCGATGCTGCTCACTGACGTCGGCGTGCTGGCCAGTTCTGGAGCCGCCCTGCGTTGTGGCTGTCGATACTGTCGAGAAGCCCCCACCTGACACGTCATCACAGCCGACGACGGCAGTTTGATCATTCGTACTCTCATGGAAGGCAGTCCATCCAGCCCAAATACGCAGGAGGGCAAATTTAAATTTAAATTGCAATTAAAATTTTCCAATTGCGGCCCACTGAAATTGCAGCCGCAAGCCCCCTTTCCGTGCGATCGTACTTCTGGGCTGCACATCGAACTTGCACTTGCTTGTGAGGCGGGCAAGGTCCAACTGCTATTCTACTGGCAAGGGGACGGCACCTGGGCACTTAAACGTGAAGTGCCGTTGTAGCTGTTGCCCCAAACACTGCTATTCAAGCTAATAGTAGTTTTGTTGATTACCAGCTTGGAGTTGCAAGACAAAACAGTGCAGCGCACAAAAGCGATAATGCAGCAAGCAAAGACAAGAACTGCAGCAGAGGAGGAATACTAGCTGCCATAGACGGTGGGCGCGCCAGCGCATTGGGGTCCACACCGCCACACATGGCAAATCCATGCAGGGGAGATATTCAGACAGTGCCGGAAACATTCAGAGAACCGGGAAACACTTCCACAGTGTCCAGCAACACCTGCACCAAGCAACGCAGCCCGCCGTACCTCGCCTCCTGCCCCTGGCCGCCCCGCACTCCTCCCTGAGGCCTGCCAGTACCTCGTCTCCGCACATCACGCAGGCCACGTGGCGCGTGGGGTCCGGCAGGCGCTGCTGCACGCTCGCTGGCAGCAGCCCCACCCGGAACTCCAGGCGCACCAGCCTCACGGGCCCGTGGGCGCAGCCCCCGCAGAGGGCGGCGTGCGGCGAGGCGCGGTAGACGGCGCGCGGGAAGGAGAGGCTGGTGTCGCACAGCGGGCCAAGGCCGGCGCAGCGAACGGAGGGCGGCCCCGAGGCCGGGCACAGGAGGGAGACCAGCATGCCGCACTTCTTGCAGGGCCCGATGTCGAAGGAGGACGCGCCGGGAGCGGCATCCTGCTGGCCTGGCGGCGGACGGCGTGGAGCGGACGTCACGGGTCGAGAAATCAATTCGCTTATTGTGGAAGAAGAAATGCATTCAGTTCACTTTTTGTTTCTTGGGATCAAACAATTTGCTTCTTGTTTAATTGTGGAACAAGGCAATCAATGAAAGCAAACGGCGTTTTGCCTGATTGTGTCGTGTGCTTCGCTGGGAGTATTTCGTTGGAAGGCAAGGAATATCTCAGTAGTTTTCATGCATCTAGATGCGTTGTCGATTTGCGTTGTGTTATTTCTGAACGCTTCGCAAACCGTTTCTGTACGTTTCAGACGGGCAACGAGCGGACAAGTGGATGTGTGAGCGTATGACAGACAAATACGTTCGATGTGTGCATGCCTGTCATTGCCGCAAGGTGCAAGGATTCTGCTCGGGCTTGCGAAGGCAAAGGTGGCACAAGGCATTTGGGATGCAGGGCGACAGGGTTGCAAATCGTCTACTGCAGAAGATGTGCTACAGACGCACACAGAGTGGTCTATAGAGCACGACGTCGACAAGCACTGAAGTTCCGATCCCCTGCAGCTGCGATTGGTGCAGACGAACAGGCCCGCTCCAAAAGACGTCGTGTGTTGGAACAGGAGTGTTGGCTCGAATTATACCAGGATTGAACATGTTCAAGCCCCCTAGAATGTGAGCAGAACTCCTATTGGGTCTTTCAGTCGGACAATTCTGGCACCAACGTGGACACAAATGCTGCTAACGCCTTAACAAAATAGTTATCAAATTAGAAAACCGACAAGCAATGAGCACATTAATCAAAAAATCAACTGGCTTGGTCCTCTGCCAATAGTGCCACAGTGTGAATTGGGTCTTTTAAAACAACTTCAGTTGAACTTGAGGATAACATGATGTGTGTAATGTAACAAATCAACAAGAGCGCACAGAGCAATAGCATACGATGTTATTGTATATTGCTGCATTTCTATGATTGCAATCGTTAGGTAGCATATATCACCGAGTTGCTATCCACTACATGCTATAAGCACCGCCTGCATGTGTGTGGGATAGCAAATGCATTGCCAATATTGGACATGGCTTCTAATCAGTGTTCAGCAGCCGCTTCATGGCTCAACAGCTCAGTTCCAAACAACGTGATTCTGCTGGTGAAAGCAAGGTACCTTGGCCTGCCAGTGCGTCAAAGAACTGCCCTATCTCATTCACCATGGCTCCTGATCGCAGCTGCGCCAGTGTTAAGTCCTCCCGGAAGGCTGTGATTGCTTGATGCAAAATCTGCAGAGTGGGGCCCATGCTGTGTTCAGAGATTCGCGTCCATGCCAAAGTGCATAAAACAGCGATGGCGGGTTGTCAAAACAGGAAGGCACAGCACCATAAGCAGTATCGGAAAACAGAGAGCAGGCAGACAAAATAGCAGTTACTTCTCCTTTGTGCTAGTGCTGGTGCAGCCCAGCCATATCGGCAAAGCTACTGAGCTTGACTGTATTACCTTTGGCACTGGGTTGATCGTAACTGGAATAATTGCATTCTCCTGGCCTCTGTACCTGTTGCATTTCCTTAACATTGCTGAAAATGTGGAGATCTCAAGCACGACTACACTAGGCTTTGACGGCGAGGCGGATTCGCTCGAAATGTGCCACCACAATGCCACTTGTCGACGAGTTGTGGTCGCCGCCTGCTTGCTGTGGTTTTGACGCTCTGACAGCATTGCTGTCCATGTGTGCTGACATTCTGATCCACCCCTTGAAGGCAGGACATTTTATGACATGATTGCAGATTTTCTGCAGCTCAGGCTTCACATAAGCAATCTTGAATAACATTTTGGACCCACTCATTGCTGCTATTCGCTTTTTACATTCCCAGGCATGGCTCGTCGCTTGCAGTCAAAAGAAAAAAATGCAGTAAAGAAAACAAAGAAAACAAAGCAAGCAAAATAAAACACAAAAGGAAACAAGTGAGAAAAATGGAAAGGTAAAACACAAAAGCCCGGAGGGACAGGACCTGGCGCACAAGTCTTGACAGCATGGCATCTGTCCATTCCGTCTGTGAGAGCCGTATCCGAGCAGGAGCCATGAAGACTGCATTTGGCCAGGAAAGGGTACAAATTAGGGATGGTACCCGGGCTGCGAAAACCGGACCCGGCTACCCGGAGGTTCCAGAACTTGGGTACCCTGGTGCACCCGAGCAACCCGGGCACACTTCGATATCCGGGTAATCACGAATAACCGCGTACCCGGGTACAACCAGAACCCGGGTCCGGGTATATACCCGGGTACGGAAACCGATTTGCCGCGCGCTTGGCCTGCTTCTGTCTAACGGAGTCCAAGACGATGACGATGCAAACGGTGCAACGTTTGCGGACGGAGGTGGTGGCGCCCGTCCATTGCCGCGAGCACGGTATTTCGCGGACGGATAGGAGGTGCGTCCGCGAAAGGGCGGGGCAGCAGGCCTCCCCGGGAGGGTGTGGGAGGCACGAGATCTGCAGCGGATCTCTGCTTACGCACGGCGAAGCTTGGTGCCCACTTTGGCTTCTTGGGGGCGCCGATTGATGCCACCCGCGGGTGCCAATCAGCGCACCCGCGGGTAGCACCGTTCGGCGGCCGCGAGGAGCGGAAGTGGCTGAAGTGCGAGGGGGCGTTCGGCCTCCCACTCCCGCCGTTTTGTGGTGTGTTTTGCGCCCGTGTTTTCCCCCCGCGCAGGCTGCAGTTCACCCTGGGCATTCGCCCCTTGGCGACGATTAATGCCACTCGCAAGTGCTAATCAGGGTACCCGCGGGTGGTACCAGTCGGTGGCCGCGAAAAGCAAAACGGCGGGAGTGGGAGCCAATGCTTGGCCTCCCAATCCTGCTGTCCCAATGCGTGTTTTGGGCGCAAGCTCTGAGCGCCGCGCAGGTCGTAGTTGCCCTTTTGGCATCCATCCGGCCTCCCACTCTCGCCGTTTTGTGGCGGACACAGCCACACACAGTGTGGACGGGGGGGACCTTCGCGGAAGCCAACGCGGTGCGAAGCAACGCACCGAACGACGGCTGGTCAATTGCGCAATACCCGGGTCCGTACCCGGACCCGGGTACTGGCAGTACCCGGATAGTCCGGGTACCCGACTGTACCCGCCAATACCCGGGTACGTTGGCGGGTACCCGGGTAGGCGGGTACAAGAAAAACCAGTACCAGGCCCGTACCCGCATCCTGTAGCCTAGCACAAATTCCAAATATAGTAAGCCATCCCCAAAGGAGGGGGCGGGGCAATGCTTCATGTTGTAGCATTTAATCCTGCACTGTCAATTATGCGTGTAATGTTCGACTCAAGGCTCTAAACATCAAAACAGATGGGCACCTGCTGCTTCGATTGCCTGCCCGCTGCCACCTCGCCGATGCCGCTTTCAATGCGCCCCCTCAGATCTGGTTTCCACAGGTTGTCCAGTCCCATCCTGCAATAGGCACTTATGAGGGACTCGCCCAAGGTGGTTGGCCAAAACTCCAAGTTTGCATTCTTCTCTGCATACCTGCAACAGTGGCAAATCCAGTTTCTGGCATGTTCTCAGCCATGACACCATGAAACACAAGCAAACAAGACGAATGCTGAAATGTTGCAACATTTCAGCAATTTTCTGGCCCAGCAATTGTGGGGCCAGAAACACTCACACCAAGAGCATTGGAGGATTTTTGTATCCAAATGAATATTACAAAAAATGATCGACCCACAGTCACTCTAATGGCGCAAATGACCATGTTTTGATTGTGTTCAAGATCGTTTTCAAGCCCTGATGCGGAACTTGTGGTCTTGGGATGGCTATAGGCGTCACGAGCATTCCCCTAAAGCACAAACCTATGCCCTCAGGAAGGGTAGTATCACACACGTGGCGTCCCATGCCCCTTCATACTGGTCCGGTATGTGAGTGGCCAGCCATGGGTGCTAGCAGGAGAGATTGAATAGGACTCCTGCGTGATCATTTCATTAAAACGCAGCCCTCGGGATCCTGATTCAGAATACGATGCAGGCAATGGCACCTACCCCCTGTCAAGCTGCTTCTGTATGTGCTCAGCGACGGTGGCGTCTGTGCCTATTCCATGCCTTTCCATCGCACCGATCAGATCCTTCTCTGCCAACCTGGGGGGCGGCTGAGTCCTCCCCTGAAATGCAAGCAGAAGAGCCTGTGAGGGAGATCACAAGAACCACGGATCGCCGCCAACAGCAACCATCTTGCACTGGGCTCCATTTCTTTAGAGAATGAGCCTGTGAAGCTCTGCCACACTTTGGAATGATCGTGTGGACAGTGCCAAAGGCATGTGGAGCAGAACGCAACAGTAAGACTGGCAATCTTCGGGGAGCTGTCTGTCAATGCAGCTTCTGTTGTTTTCCAAAAATGAAAAGAAATAATGCAACAGTTTCACAGGATTGCTGAGCAGACAGGCTGTATTAAGAGTTTGGATATTAGAATTTGGATCGAACATGGGTGGTGAAGTGCCAGGCATTTGACATTAACTGCAGCTGTTCAAGGCACCTCTTTGAGCAGCAGTTGTGTTGGCAGAAATGTTTGGCCTTCTTGAAAGTCAGGCAGGTTTGAGTTTCCGCCCCAGTTCTCGTATGGATACACATCCAGCCAGTTGCGCTCCCGTATTGTCAGCCCTGTGGAGCGCAGACCGTTGCAACCTCAGTGCATCTGCAGCATTCCCTGACCAGGTGGCCAAAGAAACCAGTCTCGAATGTTCTGCGGTCGAACATCCTGCCAGTGTGCTGTGTGGTGTGGCACATTCCTCAATGGCGTAGGGCATGCTTTGCACACATTCTCCCACCATTTTGCATTAGACTTAATTTCGACATTGTCGTTTGTGGGGATTGCATATAGGATAATCTGCAAGTGAGCATGCACTACCACATCGTGTTGCAAAGGCAGGGGCCTGTGTATTATAGCATCCCACCTGAAACATCAAAAGACTTGCGCATGCAGCAGTGCATGGGGCATCAGATGTCTTGACACTAGCAGCCACACAAATCAAGCCACCTGTGGAACTACTCATGACAGTGCAACTGCAGCTTTTACAAGGCTGCGAATGGACTACAAACCGCAATACATGAACAATCCCACTCAGCTTACTGTAAAATGCTCAACTCTTCCACATAGTAAAAAAATCAGACTTCCGCCAGTTAGCGTCGCTTTTATTGGAACCGCCAGTCACCAACTCTTGTTCTGTCTGCATTTGAAAGGACGAGTTGCCCCCATTAGCTTTGACAGTAATGAATATCCAGTCATGCCAGTGATATATCATAGCATGTTCAGCCCTTCCACATGGTAACGTAACTCTTGGCCTTTTCTTGCAGAGCAGCATAAAAATAGGACAACACTCTGAAAACAAAATGCGGAGCAAAAAGGATACTGTTAAATTTTTCTGATGCGGAAGGGTTGAATATTTAACAGTGCACACAATGCCACGCACCCTACACAAAATCCCAAGCACAACCTCAGGCAATAAGGTGCATTTGTCGAATCCAATAGTGCTTTGTTCGTTCCTCATGATCCTGGTGGCTGGAATCCAGTGTCTGCTTCTGCTCATCTCCCCCCCCCCCAGCAGCAATGTCAAGTACTGATGCAAGGAGCGGCGCAACACAGCGCTAACGTGATAATTGCCCAATAGCGCTTGATTCAAAGCTGAGCTAAACAACAGCACCCACCAGCTGTGTGAAAAGACTCCCCGGCGATGTCGATGGTGACGCTCGTCTGAAAGCCCACTGCGTCCTTTGAACAGGTCCTGAATTCCAATCAATGGTTCGTTAAATAAGGACCAAACAATAGGCACACAATACAATCAAAAAGGAGCAACCACACATCTCTTGCGTTCAGTGCAATGGGGCTGTACATCGCCATGCACATATTGTTAGGTGGCACCAAGGCCCCCCTGCTCTTTTGCTGGAATGGGGATGGCACCTGGGCTCCTCAATATGATGCTGTAATTTGGAGCAAGCAAACACAAATCAAACTTCAGTCTGGGCGTTGATTGTGAATCAGGTGCAGGGACACCCTGGCAACGTGATGCAGTGGCTTTCCTTCGACCACATGCGCTTTGTATTTGCCTCATGCATGCTACTCAGTAATTGACCAACGTCAGCACAGCGATTTTTATTTGGATAACATTGCAATGGCTGCGGGCAGCCATTTTCAATTGGCCACTCTATATGCTTGCCTGCAATTGTACAAATGAACTGACTAGAAAAGAACCAGCGAGAAAGTGGGACCCTATGCTCAGCCAGTATTCCAGCAGTGCACCAGGAAATTGCTGTATTTGGGGTGACGTCCATCAAGAAACTACAAACTGACCCTGGTTTGGATGCATGAAAATTTGGTCAAGGGGCCATTTCGAATCTGGCGCCCGTGCACGATCCATCGACGTCGATGTTTACAATCACAGGAACAACAGTCACACAGTAACAGGACATGAACAGCACTTACATATTCTGGTGACAATTAGAGTGTGATAATAAACTGGGCCGTACGCTAGGAAGCTTCTGGTGATAAACTCGTATAGCTTCTTCTTTCCAGTGTCCCATTCAGGCTCTCCCGCAGAATAGCGTGTAGGGTGTATGGGTGGATGAGCCTTGTCGTCGTGGCCACCACCCCTTGGCGGCTTCCACATGGTCCCGTCAAGAATGGATTGGGCGTGTGCTCCCCAACGGTTGTCCTGCACGTGCTCATTGACAAGGCTCTGCAAAAATATAAAATGAAACCGTGAAAATGTTATGGCAAGCCCACAACATAATTGTATGACCACAAGTCAATTGCTACCCTTCAGCTAGTCCCTCAACCTCTTATACGTTGTCCAGTGGTGTTGCAGTTGCATTTTTGCAGATACAGCTTTTGATTTGGATATGAAGGTGCCAGGAGAAGGCCCAATTGAACAAAGCAAAGCACCCACTGCTTTAAAACACACGCAGGAACGGAATTGCCTGATGATCCAAAAATGTACACTGACGTTTCCCAAACACACAACTGAAAATGAAAACAAGACTGTAACTGCAAATAGGTTGTGGTGCAGCAACTGCAGTGTTTACAATCTTGCACCAACATCAAATTGACAGTCCACACCCAGTGGGCAAACAGCGCAGCTAGTCGACAGTCGTTGTCGCCCATGCACTGCTGATACGGAGTGTAAGTGCAACAAGGCACATTGCAGCCATCCCGGCCTTTGTATCTCCACCCAGCCTACCCATATCCTGTGACTGTTGTTGGCTGATTCAACAAAACCTTGCACATGATGTATCCACACTGCTGTACGGTGATGCAGCAAATGTGCAATATGTGCCTTGACTTACTGTTGCCCCAAGCAGAATGTAATGAACATCAAGTTGGCTAAGTGTCCACAGCACCACGAGTGCAGTGGCCAGTTCCAGTGAAATCTTCATGCATTCGGAATCTGGATGTATTTGTCCAAGCCAGTAGTAACATACAATGGCCCCCACACAGACAGCACTCCACCCGCTGCCGCGTACCCGTATGTCTATTGCAGGATCAAAGACGTCTGTCTCTGTGCGTGGATAGCTGATGTAGCCTGCCTGGTACAGCTCCTCTGCGTACTTCATGAGCCGCTCTCCAGGAATCCTGAGATACATTGTCCCACGTTTCTGCATCTCCAGGGTGCTGAGCGGTGCAGGTGGCCAGCGCTTTTTCTCACGGCCATCGACCTGTCCAAGGAGAGGCAAAATTCCATGTAACACAGTTTGTGAACAGCCCATGACAAAGCCCAGCCCTGGGACCAAGCAGGCTTTGATGGCTGCACCAGCTTCCAATGTGCTTGTTCCACTCCCATTCCCATGCTTCCACACACCACTAGAAAAGATGAGAAACGACAGATAACTTGATAGAAAGCTGCATCGTTATACAAATGGAAAGCCGTTCCTCAGTGGAGATTTTGACCAATGGCAGGGCCTTCAGTTGGGCTCTTTGACCAATTTCTAAGGGCACGGCTGCATCAAGCGATTCATTTCATTGTGGAGAACTTGACTTGTTTAAAAGGATTGACACGGTACTCAAGTTCTCTGCCCATGGGGGGGTGCTCAAAGCAGTGCATGTCTTCATTTGCAACAATCTATGAGGGACAAAGACAAGTCTTGCTTGTTGGCTTCCTCGATCTTGACTGCATTCGGAAATTTCAGATTGGGGTCCTCGGATGGAGAAAAGGGCCATGTCCAACATGACGAGGGTTTGCATGTAGCACTCACTGTGTCTGTTCTTGATAACAATTGCTGTCAAAGTGTGTGCAAAACTCAGCCGTTCAGTGTCATGGAAGCAGTGGCATTTTTGTCTGGGACTTTTGGACAGTTCTCTCACAAGTTGGAGGCCACAACTAGAGCACAGCAAAGGAAGCATGTCCCTAGAGCGTCAAAAAGCAGCAAAGAGCCCCCGATTGGAAAAGCGATTCACCAAACAACAGTGCCATCAGTTGCACACTGTTGCCAGAGCATGCCAGTGCCAGAGTTCTTTTCAGAGGTTACTCTTGCAGCAAGGGAATTAGACAAGAGCATTGAATAGGTTTCAGCAAAGTTGCTGCTTTCTTCCAGACGTCCATCTCTGGTTAGTCCTTCAAGTCATGCTTACAGCTGACGGCCCAAAAACCTTGTTTGGAATCCCTGTAACCACATCCCCTAAA